TATGTATATGTATATTTTTTGGTGGTGGTACTAGGGATTGAACCCAGGGGTGCTTTGCCATTGAGTACATTCTCAGCTGCTGCCACCACCTATACTTTTTTGTGAAGACTGGATCTTTCTTGCTAGGATGCTGAGGTTGGCTTTGAACTTGGAATCCTCCTGCCTCACCCTCCCAAGTTGCTGGGATTGTGGTTGTGTGCCATATTGCCCAGCACCCAGGAAACCTTATACCTTTTGATGACAATATAATACTCCATTACAAATTAACTACCTTAAATAACTATGTCCCCTCTATATATTGAACATATAAATTGTTTCTAGTTTTTCACTAGTATACATAAAGCCCTGATGAGCAATTCTGCATAAAACTAATTCTTTGTTTCTTTTTTGGGGTGAGGGAGATCAGAGAGTGTATTAGGCAGCTTTCCATCACTATAATAAAACACTAGAGACAGGTTACTTATGAAAAAAGTGTTTTATTTAGCTCATGGCACTGGCATTACCTCATTTCTCTTGATGGTGCCATGTAGTTGATGGCAGCATTGGGAGAATATGAGAACCATGTGATCACATCTGCATGTGGGAAGTCAGAGAATAGGTGGAGCCACTTTTGGCTTTTTGTAACAACTATCTCTCAAGAACTACCAACAGGTCAAGACCCACCTTAATTCCTTGCAGCATTCTCAGTTGACTTAAGGACCTTCCATTAGGCCCCCACCTCTAAAATAATACATATACCTCATTGTTGTCGCCCTGAGAGCAAGCTTCCACCACACAGACCCCTGGGGAACAAACCAAATCCAAACCACAGCAGACAGTAGGGACTTGTTAAAGTTTGTCAATATAAAATGTCATAATGTTTTTACGAAAAGATTAGGCTGATTTACAGTTGCATACTCAAATTTCATGGTGTTTAATGATTGGAGACCTTCTGGCAATTTCCCATCTCACTCCTCCTTTTACTACCTAAAGCCAACAGATGTTCGTAAGAGTAGCAAAATGGGTTAAAAATTCTAAACACTCTTTCCACTCTTATTTTCATCATAAACATTCAATATATGACTCTCAATTCTTTATTGATGCAAATAGTTCTACCCAGTTGGCCTTTCCCTCTGTAGATAGCTGGACAAGTGGGAAGATGGGAAAGGGGGTCATGAGCTGAAACATAAATAAATATTATGTTTTTTATCTTTTAATAAAGCCACAAATGGGGAGTAACTTAATCCCCTTATAGTCTTGACCAAATGCTGAAATTTGGTTTGTGGAGGGATTTTACATCCTCTTACTTGAATATTTCTTGTCAAGTGGCAGTTCATTATCTCAGTGACTTTCTAGCACTTTTATTGTCTTGAATTTCATTTTGAATGTAAATGTCAACTCAGGAAAACATTTGTTTTTGCTTTCTGTTGTTTTTAATCTGGCACAAGTTTCATATGAGACTGTACTGAAGTACAGATTTTAGAGGTGTTTCTCAGCATGCAGTGTGTTGTATAAAAGCTAACATACTAAGGACTTCCTGTGTCCTATAAGCAAGTCTTATCTCATTTAATCTTCACAGAATATTTTGAGTTGAGTTCTCTTCTCTCCATTTTATAGATGAGGAAACTGAGGCACTGAAGGGTTTTGTTAATTTGCTCATGGTTACATAATTTGTAAGTAGAAGAGCTGGAATTTGAATCAGCATTTTGGAATTGGAGTCTAAATTCCTTAACCACTACTTGCTCTTGTTTTTTCATAATTTAATTCAAAAGAGTTATAATGAAGCAGTGAATAATTTATAACTTCTGAAGTTGGATTATAAAGTGTATCTTCAAAAGTACATAGTCCCTGGGCAGTACATAAGTTTAGAATAGACCAGCCATAATGTCTCTCTTACTTGCCTCAGTTATTTCAGCATAGGGTAAAAAATATTCTCTTTTGTAAAGTCAGAGCTTTCCTCCATATTTTAAAATCATTCACATCATGAAAATCATTGACATGTTCACCAGATTATCCTCACAGTGTCTACAGCAGGAAGGGTGGGTTATTGTAAGTAACTTGTACTATTGATTCACAGTTTCAGTGAGCTTATAAAAGCAGAGATCGCCATAAATTGTGAAATGTGTCAGTTGTCTGCTGTCCTGTATGGGCATGAAGCCAGCTTGGAGGAGCCCAGACCATCAACCCTGCTCCTTACCTTTCTTTTCTTGTAGGTGGGGCCAGTTCTGAGGAGACAGATCCCTGCTGTTTCCTAATTTAGCCTTATTCTCAGATCAGTTCCATTGATGCTTAATTTAGAGAATGATCGCAGTGTACATTTTCTCCTCTTGCTTTTATTGCACAGTGTTTGTTGGCCTCCAGTAGAGTCTGTTTAAAATGCCTGACATATTTCTGCACTCCAGGATTCTCTGATTTTGTTCAAATCTCCACTTTTCTCTTTCCAGATTGGAGTATCTCATTCCTTATTGTGTCCTTAGCACCTAGCAGAGTGCATACCATGCTGTTATCTGTCCTTTTTACTGTGTCCCACCTTTTGACTTATTGAATCATTTTGATTACCAGGTACCATACAGAGAACAGAAATGTCACTTTGGGGGAATATAAGTTTGGACCTGTTTTCATGAGGCTGTGTTATGAGTTGGATCTTGAGGAGTCTGCAGTGGAGCTCATCAAAGACCAGGTTATTTTTTCCTGATTAATTTGCCTGCCAATATGATTTCCTCAAGGGGTATATTTTGTCATTATCAGAAAAGACATCTTTTCAATACACATTATTCCTGGGTTAGATTTTCAGACAAAGGCCACTACACTGAATGAATAATTCAGTTCTTTGCATTTTAAAAGTTTCCTTGGGGTTGGTTTATACCAAGTAGGATAAGTCTCTATGCCTTTGCAGCAGTATCTGCCACATTTTGAGAATATGCTGACCTCTTTTATTCAGAAACTTCCAGGGGAGGATGGCTTAAGACAAGGTGCCATTTATATGATCCCTTTCTTATTTTTTACCTGTGCTCTGTTTTTCTTTCTTTTTTTTTTTTAAAGAGAGAGAGAGAGAGAATTTTTTAATATTTATTTTTTTTT